TATTTTGTACATGAACATAACGGATATACATACAGCAGTGGATATTAACATGTATCCTGTCACATTTGCATGCAAAAACAGCTCAAAGTTAAACACATATGCTGTGTCTCCACTGTGTCTGTGTGTGGGTTTGTATTGACATTGCAGTATTCATCATGCTCATTGACTCATGAACTCCACAACAAATACATCAGATAATCATTGGGAAAGTTCTTAATGTAGTATTTCTCTCAAACGTTATGTGAGATCTGCTTCCTTCATGTCTGTCTTGGTTTATCTGATGCAGCAGAGGAGATGATTGAGGCAAGTGGGAACGGTGGGTGGGAAGAACTAGAATTAAAGGCACAGGCAACAAAAATAATCTGATGGGTGTTTCAAGCTGAACTTTACAGACACATTTTGAAGATACAAAAAAAAAAAAGTTAAATCTTGAAAAAGAGGTAAATAAGGGTGCCCTTTAAATTGCAAAAATTACACAACATTTTGATTTCAAATTAATTATTAAATATTTTTTACATAATATTTTCTATTTAACAAAGAAAAATATGTGAAATGTTTAAAGAAAATAATAAAGCAGGAAATAGAAAGCAGCAGTACAGATTTCAAAATTGATCATAAAAGCAATGGGTCTCATTAACTAATCATATCTCTTTATAATTCATATTCATAATTTGTTTTCTTATTCTGTAATTTTCTCTGGATAAGTTCCACTTTATGAAGCCTTTATATGGAGCTAGTGTGGGCCTGTATTATGCAAATCACTGATATTGTGCAAAATTGACTAACAGAAGATCAAGTTTAAGAGCAAACTTGTGTGTCTATGCATGTGTTGTGAATGAGGCAGACAGTTTACTTAAGAAGTTCATATGGGCGTATAAATACGTACCTGAAATGTATTAACTGAACATACTTACATAATTAAATATTCCAGTTTCATTTTGGAACTAAACTCATTTAATTTTGGATTATGTCAGAAGCATATTTTTTAAATATCATACTGAAATTTTAATAATTTAGCCTCAGTTTGAATATGAATTTTCTGTATAATCTTTCTATGAGGCAAATTAAAAAGATCCTGATGACTTCTGTAACCATGCAGTATCTTCCTGGAATACTTTCCAGTAGACAAAAAGTAGAGATAAACCTAACCTCCTCTGCCATCAGTCTTCAACTCGGTGTGAAGTTTCTAGCGCTGCAGTTCCCTGATGTCCACACTCACATAATTAAGGATGAAGTTGTCAGAAAGACTGATGTAGATCTTTGCTTCTGTGTGTGTGTGTCACCCAAAGCTCATGTTCATGTAAATTAATGAGCTCTGCTGCTAATCCGGCCAGCTAATGTCGACACTGGATGTACCAGCATGATGAAGACATTATTACTGAAGTGTATTGGGGCAGTATTGTAGGTCTGCACAAGATCATGTTAATTCAACAGATGTTTCAGGTCGTCTAGAAAACAACAATGTGGCAGCAATTTTGGGTTCTGCTCCATTGAAAAGCTGGTCCATGTTTCCTTTCGAAATCACGGCTTTCTTTTGTGTGTTTTCCTTTTTTTTCAGGTAAATTTCATGGCCAATTGCTCCGCAGGAATTGCCTTTAGTTTGCTTGTTTATGAATAGAGATTGTAATGATTTTTCTTTTTCTTTTTTTTTTGGCCTGGAAGGAAACGGTGATTCGTTCCCTGTGCAGCTACAGACAAAGGAAAAGAAGCAATTGCAGGACAATGTGTTCTGCTTCACTGATTTACCAAAACCAGGCGTAGATATGTCTAGATGCACAAATTTAGTTTTTTGTGGCCTGCTTGAAGTCCTTTTAAAGGGTTACAATGTTGTTGACGACAAGCATGGGCCAGTATAAGAGTTTAACGGTATGATTACCTCGGATAAAAAATACAATACGGTTTGACCGTATTGTGATTACTGCTCTAAAATATATATCTCTTAAAATGTCTGAGTAAAAACACAGATTTCTTTACAATTTAAAATGGCATTTTTGCATCTTTTCTGCATGAGATACTGTTGTCCTAAATAATAATAAATAAATAATAATAATAAAAATAATAAATAAACAAAACAAAATAAACCTTGTATACCATAGGAACGGTATAACAGAAAATTTTGGCAAACCTTGACTTTTCCAAACTATGGTATAACTTGGAAACGGTTATCGTCCCATGTCTAGTTGACGATATTGGAAAATTTCTTCAAGTAACTAAACTTCAAGTAACTTAATTAACTATAAGTTAAAATGACATTATATACAGGTCAAAGATGTAGGGTCCTATCATACACCCGGCGCGACGTAATTGTTGTTTGCTTGTTTCAGCTCTGCGCAAGAGTCGTTTTGACGTTGTGCGCCACGCTGTTTAAATAGCAAATGCATTTGCGCTCGTATGCGCGCCCATAGGCATTCTGGCCTAAAAAAGGAGGCATGTTGAGGTGCATTGCTGGCGCATTGCTATTTTGAGGAACTTAAATAGAAGGTTCAAATAGATCAGGGGTTATTCATAACAATTTGCTTTTGTATAATGTTATTATTACTAACAGTATTATTTATTATATGTATGTTTATTTTAATTTTTATTAAAAACAAGCTTAGGTTTTAGACCATATGGGGCACAGCATGTGTATTTAGATATAACTCAGTTTTTTGACCACACTTCATTATTATTGTTCATTTATTCGTTTGCTGGAAATTAGAACTGCATTTAGAAATAGTTTTAAAACAAATCTTTGCGCTTAACAAACAAAATTAATTATTTAAAGGCTAATGGATGTCTGTGCGCACAACATGTTTGCCTATCCATGAGAGTGAAAGCGAAAGTAAACAATGAGGATGCTCTCGTTCTCGCGCTGTAGATGCTCTTTTTAACTGTTTTCTCTCTTGTGAACGATTTAGCTTTTCCACTTACAAAGTCGTCATGTAAATAGCAAATGAGCTGTGGTGCGGCGCAACTGGCTCTAAAAGGGAATTGGGAGATGAGAGTCTGATTGGTTTATCCTCAAAACACACCTATAACTTATTAGGAGAATAAGCTCAACCCTATTAGTTCATGCGCCACGGCGCAAAGTGGATTTTTCCGTCCTTAAATTAGCAAAAGTAGATTCTGACACACCCTTAATGCGTTTGCGCCCTGTGCTTTGGACTTTGTGATTGAACCGTCAAAATAGAGCCCAAAGAAGGTCTTTAAACATCAAAACATTCAAATTAAAGTTACAGATTTAATTCCTTTCTTACATTATGACTTGTTTTATTTTCTTAGCAGAAAATATGGACTTTAACACATAACATGATTTACAGAACACACTAACTAATGCTTATGTACTAAAAATAAAACTTGTAAGGCATATTTTAAACAATAATAATTTTAGCAAGAATTATACTTTAAGAATTACTGTAGGATTAGTGTACAGGCCCAAAATGCAAAGTAATTGTCATTTAAAATCTTCATATTTTGCCATTGTCCTTCAAAACATTACATTTTACCCATTTGTCAGTAAGAAGTTTATAGTCCATGATAAACTTATTTTGTCTGGGCCAGTAAAGACCCAAATATGTAATAATGATTGGTACAAAAAAAATCTGCATTTATAGTCTATGTGATCCATAAGTTGCTGCTGCAGTCTTTAATATCAGTATCATGATGTATTTCCAACTGAAATGGAATATTGAGGAGATGGGGTTTATTTTTGTGCTCCTCCTCTCATCTTTCACTCGCAGCAGACTAACCATTGGAGGAGTAGGACTAAGCATATTTCACCCAAGCCAGAGAAGGACCAACATTCCGGTACAGAAGAAAATGGTTGGATTTTGATGAAAAATTACCAAAACAAACAAAAAAATTACTGTATTAACTTGAATAGATGAATTTTCACATTAAGGTGCTTTCACACTAGCACTTTTGGATTTGCATCCTGGTTCGTTTAATGTCAGATTTCAGTACATTTAGCTAGTGTGAACGATGTCTTCTGAACTCACCCGTGAACTGTACTCTGCCTGAAAGAGGTGGTCTGTGGTATGATTTGCACAAACTGTGGTTCACTTCTGATGTGAATGCAGTTGTACCAAATAACGGTAGTTATTACTTTATCTTTCATAACGGACATCCGTGTGTGTGTGTGTGTGTATTACGTATCACCTAACGTTACCTGCGGTGATAAGTGGAGCAAACACAGTGATAACGTCTGCTTGTCTCCTCCAAAAACAACAATTGCAGACATGGCGTTATGTTCGGAACATTTTTTATTATTTTTTAAGGGTTTTCACCTTTATTGGGACAGGACAGTGGAGATTTTACAGACAGGAAAGTGTGGGGAGCAAAGATAGAGAAAGGATTTGCAAAGGACCTCAAGCTAGGAATCTAACTCGAGTCACCGTGAACACAAGGGTGCTTTGTGTCGACGCGCTAACTGCTAGGCTATAGACGCTGACTTTTGAACATTTTTTATATTTTTTTGTGGCAGATGGATGGAAGTGGCTCTGTGTTACGTAAGATTATCAAAACCAAAAGATTCCGTAAAAGCAGAACAACCGTAATATGCATACATTTTTCCATTTCGGCTTCCGTGGCCATCACCTAGCAACAGCTTTACACACAACAGCTGATCAATGATGCAAGCTTATCAGGGTTCAGCAGGAAAAAAGACGGTGTGAACACAAACTAGCCGAGAAGGTGGCAAGGGGGCACAATCGAACCTGGCTTTAAAGACTTTAAAGACACCAAAATGAGATTTTCTTTGACCTATAAATGTTACTTTGACCCACATAAAGTACAGGTGCCTTGGTAAAGAGTCATTATTCGTATTTCTTAGAAATACCTCCAATCAAGTGTCCATACCACAGTCTGTTTTAATATTCTTAATGTTTCTGCACTGTATGTAAAATGGTACTTCGATATAGCTTGAGCATATTTCTAAAAGCTTGTCGGGAGCTGAATATTAGGCACTTTTTCTATCCAGAAATGTAATTAAAGAATCTTGGTTTGTTTTTTTGTACTTTCAGGTATGCAGTTCTTCACAATGGAAACCACAACGAACAGGAGAAACTGTCAATACAGAATGACACAGAGTCCCAGGAGTCATGTTTCTGACACAGGCCACCCTCTAATGAGGACCAGCTCTGGAAGGTCCCATTTCTTACGGGCCTGCCTGCAGCTCAAGCCCAACCTGAGCATTTAAGGACTCACATACTGGGAGATGGACTGAACCGTCTGCTCAAAGAGCTGCTGAACAATGAAGGAAAGAGTAATGTTGCCAAAGGTATCTGGTCTAGATTTTAGGATATAAATTTCTATGGGAAAGGAATGTCCCCCCCAAATTTGGTAATTTCTTTTGGTAATGCCAAAAATGCATCTTACAAGCTTTATACAGAGAGGTTTTAGAGTTCTATGAGGTCAGGATAACAATTCCTGAAAGGTACTGCACAAATGCTGAAAAGCTGTCACTTTATTAAACAAAAATAAAGATTTATTTTTGTTCTAGAAATTAAAATGAATTCCACAAACAAACATTCATACCACAGTATTAAGAGCTGAGCGCAGAGCTGACCAACTCCTCCATTTCTCCATATACATTTCCATATGTACTCAATATATGGATATGTTTTCTAACAGGATCCAGGCATCCTTAAGAATATTCTGAATACCATTACATAAAATCAGTCTTTCAATAAATATGGCATATTTCAGAGCTATAAAACACAAAATTACCTAAATAATTTTATAAAAACATGACTTTTTTTCAAGCAAATTAAAAAACATAATATCTCCATTTTTACATTGTTCTTTTGTGAACAATTGGCATTGTAAGATGTCTAAAACTCTTATGGAAATGAGATTTAACCAGACTTTGTTTGTGTATTTTGGCTTCTTATAAAACCTTCTGAATACACAGATTTCTTTCTGTATTATATATATTCAGTCAGGTCAGCTTTATGCATTGCTAAATGCATCCATTTCTAAATGATGTCCATACAATCTCTTCTGATGCAATTCACCGCCATACAAAGAGCAGTGCTTTTCTGAGAGCGTTAACACTACATGATGCCTGCTGACTCTGCCTGTTACTGAGAAAGTGTCAGGCCACTCCAAACAAAACCTTTGGTGACAACAACCAGGGCCACCAGTTTTAAACAGTTTCAATGGTTCTTGCAAAGGTTCTTAAAGGTATAGTTTGAAAAAAATTATTTATTTATTCATCCTCATGTGATTTCAAATTGTAGCAGTTTCCTCTGTAAAGCATAAATGATGCAAAGTGGCATTAATTCAGAATATATAAGAGTTAGTTCACCCTAAAGTGACATTTTGTCATTATTTACTCCCACACTGTAAAACCCAACAGTCAACTTTATCAAATAAATGAGTGTAGTTAACTCAAAATTGACTGAAAGTTAATTCTACTCATTTGAAAAGAGTTTTGAGCTCAATGTTTAAGGTAATGAGTTTATTAAATACTTCATTGCTTCATCTTAAATGGACTAGGTTCACAATACACAGTATAGATTAGTTTTTTAACTCAAATGGTTTGTAGCAATCGGTTTCCTCAAACAGTTTGAGTTGCCTTAACTTATTAGGTTTTACAGTACTCAGTTGGTTCTTTATTTATTGGATTTTACTGTGAACAAATTGCTTTGTTTACTCAAATAGATGAGGTTCACAGTATTCATTAAGATTAGTTTTTGAACTTAAATGGTTTGTTGCACTCGGTTTTCTCAAATGGTTTGAGTTACCTTAACTGTTTGGGTTTTACAGTGCATGAATTTTCAATCCCATGAGACCTTCGATCATTTTTGCAACTTTTTCTGTCTGAGGGTGAAAGAGGTCTTTGGTTTCTTTCACATTATTTGTATTTGTGCTCCTAAGATGAACAAGTTTCTCAAGGGTTTGGAACGACATCGGAAAAATAATTGAATCATTTCACATTTTATGGTTTCTCAGTTGCAGAAGTTGTAATAATTGAATAAACTCAAAATTTCGCATTTCAGCTTGCTTAAACAACAAAAGAACAACTACAAGATTGTGTTATCATGACTTTCAGAAATGGGAAAAAAACGTGTTAGACTGATAACAGCAGCCAGAAGAGAAAAGAAACCTGGAAAAAGCTCATCCCAACTCATGAGCATTGTAATTTCAGCTCTCTGTTGTAAGCACACTTGTTTTGAATCTGCTTTAAAAATAATGCAGTGCCGAGAGCATAAAAGACAACAGTGTAATCATAGATGTACCTACAGACATTTATTTCAAAAGTAATTACATGAAGGTATACATTTAAATAAAACACAGTGTAAATGTGCATGTATGTAGCCAGTTAGTGAAGTATTCATAAATGTTAATACAAAACATTTCAAGTGGGCTCCATCTATTGCTGCTCAGTCGATTTTCAGCCACCTCCAGAGAATATTTGTGAAAAATCCAGTGAAAAAAAATCCCAAACATTTTTCACAATAAGCTGAAGTTGGTCAAGCAAATTTGATTTATTAGCTAACAAAAATCCTCTTTGTTTTTAAAATGACTTCTGTACTGTGCTTCATTTCAAGCCAATCGCATAACCATTCATGATAAGTCATGATACATTATTGGCTAATTAATATAAATAAATAAAATAAATAAATATAATCTTATATTTTTGTATGAAGGATATGTAGCAATTTATAATTAGCCACTCTCATTAATCTCTTTTTTTTTTTTTTTTTTTAACCAGGTTGCTATTTTGCTAAATTTTGCCAAATGTTCTTTAGAACTATTGGATACATTTTGTTGGATCAATGGAGGAAATATTCTTTCACTTTTCACTAAAAAAGCTCTATACAGATTTGAAAGGGCATGAGGATGAGTCATTTTTGGGTGAACTATCCCTTTAAAAAAATGTGTGAAAGCTTCCCAGACATCAAATATTGCTTTTGCGTAATTCAATTAAAAGTCATAAATAATTTAAAATAAATGATTTAAATTCTGTGAATTAAATATATCAGTAGATTAATTTTTATTCCTTGATATTTATAACTAAAAGCTCTCAAAGCAGTGATGTGCCATAATAAAGCTCACTTCCAGAGTTGAGGACCCCAATAAACATGCTCCCTAGAGAGCCTCAATATAGCAGAAGTGACCCAGAACAATCTCCATTCCTTATCTCAGCCCCTCAGTCAGGCTGCTGAACTGTGCCTCCGCCTCAGATTAATTACCTTTGGGAACTCCAATTGTTTGAATTGATCTAAGAGATGTAAATATTTTGAAATAATTACATTTCATGTGTCAGCCAGTTTCTTCAGAAAACAGGTTTGTTATGTTTGCAGGGATGTACTGACCACAGTAATGTCAGCATAACACACACACACATACACAGAAAAAAAATGGACATGTACAGCTCAGCACTTTCTTCATGCGTCAGTTTTCTGATTATTTTAAAACAACAACCTCTCCTGCAAATAAAGCACTTGTAGCACTTTTATAATATGAAGATTATTGCATCCACAAGTCTTTCAGTATTCTGGTCACGAAGAGGCCATACAAATATTTGAGAAATATGAAAGGAATTTGACTTTCGTGATCAGTTTTTTATAAAGGTAATCACTGATGGGTAGTGGCGGACGAGGTGATGTGATGAAGGAACAAATAGGACACACTAAGATTTGATCAACCAATGGAAGAATCTATTATGGCTTTATTTGTTGGAATGCTAACAGAGCTAGCTACATTATCTAGTTCAAGGAAATTCCCACTTTAGCTTTCTTTTCCTTATCTTCTCGTTTTTTTATCAAGCGATATTTAATTTCTAAAGGTAGAGTTTAGTTTGATTTTCTTGTACATAGGAATATATTTTTATGCAAAAGATTTGATAGTGGTCAGTGTGTTCCTTGAAATGCTTTAGTCGAATGCGTTTCTTCTTCCAGTCTGGTGTATGACCATGAAATACCGTGTCATTCGAAGCAATGTCCAGATAAACTGTACGCTGGGCTACTTGTATTTTGTTTTGTTTAGTTTTTGTTTTTTTTACAATCAAACATGTATAAATGGTCGTGCCTTCACCTTACAAATGTACAGAGCATTGTGATTCGCAGTGAAACTGTGCAAGTTAACACCAATAAATGCTGGTAGTGGTTGAAAATATTGCTTTTTAAGAGTTCAAATATACAATCAAAGGCAAACTCTGAGTAATAATGTCCAAAATTGAGATCCTCTGCTTTCATCTCTACACTTTCAGTTATGTAGCACATGTTTTTTTGATTTGAAGGTACTTTGAGGTAATTACAGGGGGCATTTTCACACCTTTTGCTTTGTTCTGAAACAGACTTCATACAGTATTGCATTTTCTGCTTGGTTCCGTTTCTATTAGAGAGTAGCATTTTAAAGCACAACACAATGTGTTTGTGCAAGTTGCGTGTGAGTACATCTATTCTCTCATTGGCTTATCTGATATTAAGGACTGTAGGGGCAGTCAAGTACCAATCAATACTGACATTTTAAAAACAAAAAAAAAGCTATTGAGCAAATGTTAGTGGGGATTTTTTTCATTTTAATTTCAAGAGTTCACACTTAGGCTACTTTTCCACTGCATGGTGACTCAAGTGACTCAATTGCGATTTTTTTCTCCCATGTGGCACAGATCGGATATGACCCATGTACGCGTAAGCAGGAAAAAAATCACATGGATTCCGATTTACTCAAATCAGATTCAGGTCTTGTTCATATGTGGAAATCTATCTTATATGAATCGGATCTGTGCCCTTGGGTCTGCATGGGATCATATTTTCACCTTTCAATGCGAGTCGCAAATCATTATAAACTATAGCGAATGACGTTAAGTCAGACGCTTTTAATTCGGAACAAACTTCAGCAGAGTTGCAAACCTTAAATCTCATACACGAGGATTAAAAAAGTTTTTATATTGTCATGTAGCACAAGTATTTAAGCATGTTAATTAAAGAGAGAGCGCCTAGATGCCTACTGGTTTAAAAAGACCTAGATTAAAAGAAGATGGCCAAGTGAGAACTTTTCTGCCATAAATTAGTAAAACAGCATGTCAAAAATAACTTGTAAAAAAATAACAGATTAAACACAGGAATGTTTTGAAATTATTTTGTAAAATTATTTTGTAAAACTTCCCTTCGATTAGTATCGAATTCGATACTTTTGACAACCCTAATGGACCGACAGAGCAGATATTAAGGTTTTATAAAGACATCATTTTTATTCCTATTATGATTTAAAGTACCACTTGGTTTATTGCTCTGTTGAGTCCACCCTGTCCTCCAACTTTTATGACTGTACATTTCGTGAAATTATTTTTTTGAAATACGGCTCATAGGAGCGTTTACTAAAATAGTGCCCCTTACTGTGAGACATAATGCATTCAGTCAGAGAGCTAGTACACACTTCACTTCTCTGTTAAAGATTCAGATGTTATTATCAGAAATATAATGATTTTCTATACATTTAGGCAAAAGGATCAATTGAATTAGAGAGAATTTAATTTGGTCAACTTTAAAGAAAATTTCTCCAATATTTACATTTTTTGAAGACTCAAATTCCAGATTTTCTGTTGCATCTAATACAAAAATGTAATTATAGTAACAAACATTGTCCTATTTCCAATGATCACATATATCACATACAATAAAATAATATAAAAATAATGAGTTCATATTTATAACTAATAACAATAAAAATAATGAGTTCATATTTATAACTAATAACTAATAACAACAAATAACAAAATAACAAAACTAATAATTTATAACTAATAAAAACAAATATTATTTTAACTAATAATATTTATAACTAATAACAAAATAATCCATTTATAACTAATACTTAAATAGACTTTTAAATAAATGAAGAGGACTAGGGGTCATTTTGGTGCATCACACACACGAATGACAAATCTGCTGCAACTGTGTGATGCTCTCATGTCAATATGGACCAAAATCTCTGAGGAATATTTCCATTACTTGTTGAATCTATGCCATGAATGATTAAGGCAGTTCTGAAGGCAAAAATGGTCCTGGTACTAGTAAGGTGTACCTAATAATGTGGCCGGGAGTGTATATGTCACTGTGGCATAAGTTACTATGGTGACAAAACCCAAAGAAAACCAAGAAAAACTTCCTCAAGCTGAAAACTAAAGTTTCTGAGTTTGCTTAAACTAAACACAAATTTATGCCAGAAATAACTGAGCTAAGGTAGAAAATGCATCAAAACAAACACTCCAAATGAGCAGGTGTGAAAATGCCCTAACAGTAAGCAGTTTTGTTGGTGACGGTGACAAACAGCTTGCACAATTTCCTATCTGTGTTCTCTGGATGTCATCATGTTGTTTCATGATGAAGATTTGGTAACA